AATGACTGACTGACTGACTGACTTCCCTCTCCGCCTGGCGCCGTGCGAGGGGGAGCCAGCCGCAGGCCCTGTCAAGGCGAGGTGGTGTGAGGGCAGACAAGGCCAAGCCGGCGCCTGCGTCTGCGTCGCAGTTTTTTCAGCGCTCTCCGTGTTTGCTCAGCGCAGAACAGCACGCGCACCTTCCTCTTATTCCTTTTATCATTATAAGTTTGAGGGATGTCGGTGTGAGGTTTAAGTGCTGGTTGCTATTTGCACAGATGGGGTGGGGGGTTGTACTGGTGCTCTCAGGTGTATTTGGCCAATGCTGGAACTTTTGAATCTCCCCATCAGGGCTCCTGAATTTCGTGTTTTCCATGAGTTTTGATGTCTGCCTGCATGCATCAACTATATACATTTACGTTAGGAAACACTTCACTGAAGGGGTTGTCAAGCATTGGAACAGGCTGCCCTGGAGGTCGTGGAGTCACCATTCCTGAAGGTATTTAACAGATGTGTAGATGAGATGCTCAAGGACATGGTTTAGTTGTGGACTTTGTAGTGTTAGGTTTTGGTTATGGGTGGACCAAATGATCTTAAAAGTCTTTTCAAAATCAATCAAGCTAGCAAAAGTAGTGTGTCCAACAGGAGTAGGGAAGTGATTGTGCCCCTGTACTCGGCACTGGTGAGGCCACAGCTTGAGTGCTGGCTTCAGTTTTGGACACCACAGTACAAGAAAGACATTGAAATGCTGGAGTGAGTCTGGAGAAGGGCAAGGAAGCTGGTGAAGGGTCTGGGAATATGTTTTATGAGTGGCTGAGGGAATTGTTTTTTTTTAGTCTGGAGAAGAGGAGGCTGAGGGGAGGCATTATTGCTCTTTACAACTTCCTGAAAGGAGATTGTAGTGGGGTGGGTGTTGGACTCTTCTCCCAAGTAACTAGTGATAGGGTGAGAGGAAATGGACTTAAGTTGTGCCAGGGGAGGTTTAGATTGGATGTTAGGAAGAATTTCTTTACTGAAAGAGTGATGAGGCATTGGAACAGGCTGCCCAGGGAGGTAGTGGAGTTGCTGTCCCTGAAGGTATTCAAAAAATATGTAGATGTGGCACTTGGGGACATGGTTTAGTGGTCGTGGTAGTGTTGGGTTGACAGTTGGACTTGATGTAGAGGTCTTTTTATAGTCTTAATGATTTATGATTCTAGCTGAAATGATTCTGTGTTTCCATGTGTGCGGGACAAAACCCAGCCAAAACAATAATGAACTGCAAACTTCATAACTTTGTGTGGTGCTCCCTCTGCTGACAGCTGCTGTTTAGCTCCAGCAACGATGTAGTTTCATTTTCAGAAGTGGCTTCTACTGCAGATGAGATTCCCTCATTACATTAAAGCTTTACATGAACCTTTGTAGCAATTTCAGGCCAGTTGTGTGACCTGCTATAGCCAGAGCTACCATTGTCAAGGGAAGACTGTTTCAGTGTCTTTTCAGAAGCTGCTTTTTATTAATACTTGTGAAAGGAGCTGGTAGCAGTAATCCACTGCTGCGTGCCTTTTCTTCTATAGTCATGTTAGCCTTTGTCAAGGGGATGTGAGATGCTACCAAATAGTTTTCCACTTCTGTACTGTTGAGTGTGATTCTTTAAGTCAGAAATCCACGCAGACTGTTGGTTTCTGTGCCTGCAGAATTGAGCCTCAGGTAATGATGGAACAAACAAGGCAGAGAGTTTAGGCCCAGTTCAGATGGAGACCATGGGAAGGTTCTGCTGTTTCAACAGTGCAGGTAGTGCTGTTTCAGATTCCTTCAGGGGCAGGGGGCGTCTGGGTGATGCTGGCAATCATGACATAGCATGTAGAGAAGGTCTTCAGCTCCTTGAGCAGCAGGTGAAAGACCAGGCAGAGTGGAGTAGGACATCTCTGCTAGTTTTAAATGTCATTGCTTAGACAGCTGAGTTGTATCTCATCTGTCCCTTGTTCCGTTGTTTAGGTCAGAGGTTATTAAAGGATGGAAAGTAGTCTTTCAACTGCATTGTCTGTGCTAGCTTGCCAGATACTGGGCCACAGCTTTTTGGCTTTTGCCTGGAGAATGGGGAGTTGGTGAGGACGTGACTAAATTCACAGCTGCTTTCCCCTGAGATCAGGTGGAGCCCTCCAGTGTGCAGAGGTGTAGACGTTGTGGGAGAGGCCTGAGCCTTTCAGTCTGATATCCTTGTCTCGCTGGGTCTGATCTGCAGAGGCTGTATCACAGTATTCTAAGTCAGACTACAGAGTGTGCAAAAGGCCTTTAGTGATCACATACTTTGAAGGGAAATGGGAGACAGTTGCTAACAAATCTGTAATAAATCTAATTTTACAGAAATGAAGTTTGGTATTAGAACCTATGGATTTTTTTTTTTTTACCCTCTACACTTCATATTTCTGAAATCACATGAAATAATTATTTCAGTAATCTCCTAATTTTTCCTGAAACTGTGCCCTGTTAGAGTTTTGTCACTTGAGATTTCTTTCCTATACATTTTGCATACATTGCATGTTCACATTGTCATGCTTGAATTAGCTCTGAATAATAGACTCTAGGCACTGGCAAGAATCTGCTGGTGGTAGGGTGGATGTTGGTGCTGAGTAATTTATCAGTTGTTTTTTTTTGTTTTGTTTTGTTTTTGTTAAGCTCAGATGTGAAAGTGATCTTTATATGGTCAGGATATGTGTAAAAACTTGAATAATGCTATTTGGTCAGGAGATCAGGGTTCAAACTGTTATGGCCATGCATATGCTATCTCAAACCTGCTAGTAGGTGTCTGAAACTGTTTCAGGATAGAGTTGTTGGAGCCTACCATGCCAGTGCCTGCCTGTGTTTGCTTGAAATTATTGTTGCCAATTCATTTTCTTTAACAATTGTTTTAAATCAGTTGAGGCCGCTGTAAGATTGTGTTTGGGAGTGGAAGAGTGAGAGTGGGAGGTAGAACCAACAAATGGTAAGGAGTGGCAGAAGACAGTCTCTTTTGGCAGCATTTATTCTGCTCCCTTTTGGAGGATTAGAATCTGTAATTTCTGTGGGGTACTTCTGTCATTCTGATTGCCTTTAAAGATTTGTCTCTTGTGGCCCAATTAATAATTATGTGTACTGCTGATGGTAATCGTGCAACAGTCACAGGGAATATGTACTTAAAGCTCTTATGCAACTCTTTAATATTTTTATAACAGTTTTACTAGTATATTTACATTTCTTGAAAAGAAAATTTTTGCTGAGTCATCCAGTACAAAGTTGCATTAAATACTAATGTTGAATTTTGTTTTTACCTTTACAATTTTCCTGCAGTACATCATCATATTATGATTGTGTTGGCAGTTTAGGTATGGGGAAGCAGCTACACAGTCTTGCAAGCCAGAAGGTGCACAAGTGGATGACCAACTGTTGGAGCAATTGCGCATTTAAATAAGTAAATATAGTGGTGAATGGCATAGTTGTGTTTTTTTTTTTTTCTTAAAAAAACAAACAAACAACCAAACCAAAACTTAAACCCCAAAATCAAAGCAGAAACAAAAACATTTTTTGAGCTGAAGAGAGATGAGGTGGAAGGATTGTTATGAGATCCATAATAATAAAAGAATGGAAAAGGACAGACAGCTGCAGCTGGATTGTCCAGATGTGCTCTTGGGAGTTTTTTTTTTTTTTTAACGACGAGAAGAACCCCCTAAAATATGGGTAGGGGATTATGCTTTAGTGAGAGAAAAAGAGAAAGGCAAAATCTAGCCACATCAATGTCTAAGAGCATTGTCATAGTCTTACAATAGGTCTGGAGTCTTCCCTCAGGTTTGAAGGGAGCTGGAGGGGAGAAAGGAAAAGGAAGTAGGCTCAGAGGGGTGTAGGAAGGTGCTGTGTGATCTCAGTATAGCAGTAGACCAGAAGTGGAAAAAGATGCAACAAAACTTGGAGAAAGCCATTGACCCTTAAGTAGCTCATGGGCAGGTAAATGCTGCGTTGTCACTAAATTCAATTGTTAATGTCTACACAGTTTTTTGTTCCTTCTCATGACAGGAGTGTGATCTGCATGAAGTTTGACTTTGGGAGATGTGCTAAATGATGTGTGGAGCATCCTGGTCGCTTGTTCTAGGATATCTAAGTATGTAACATGTTTTTCTGCCCTTGAAAAAAAGCAATTTTTGGCAAATGTCATATTCATTTGAAAGTGGCAGTTAGGAATAAGGAGCCAAATGGAAACAGTCCATCTCCAACTTGAGCATTGGGTGAGGTGAATAACTTAGAAGCTAAGGCAGTACAGGTCTTCTGGTAGTTCCACATTCACTTATTTCTCTTGTTCTGCTCTGGAGAGATTGTAGAGAGGAGGAGACTCTAGGTTAAAAACTGCAAATGGATGTATTGATGTTGTGATTAAAGGAGTGAAGAGGAAGAGAAAAACTGAAAATGAAATCTAGCATCATGCCAATCTCTATAAAGCTTTATTTTAGGGAGGGATCCTCTTAATAAAAGTGAGTTAAATAACAGAACTTCAGAAGTGGGGAAAACCATGCTAATGACCGAGGAAGAACGTTGGAGACTCAGTTTTATCATCCCCAAATAGTTCATAAAATTGAAATGATCTGGAGTCCTATTACTATCCTAGAGATGACACAGGAGATGGTGAGGTTATCTCTCTAGAGCAGCCTGAAGTATTTAATTTTTCAAGCAGGACACTTACTGTCTATTGTTACTTCTGCTTCCCAGATCAGCGGCATGGAAATGAAAACCAGCGAAGATCATTTGAAAGTCCATAAAATGAAGAAGAAGATATTGAGGAAGCAGGTCAGAGCTCAGCATACACTGATGAGACATGAAGGCATCAAGTGCACCTCCTGTGCCACACAGGTGACTGGTACTTCTCATTTTGGTGGTGGTGTGAAAATGCTGCTTGTCTCTGTTCTGTTGTCACACATGCTTTGTCTAAAATGCAGTTCTCCAAAATGCACTTCCTGAGATTGAGGGTTTTCTGTGCCTTTTTGATTTCAAAGGAGAACTGTACTTCAGCAGTTTAGTGTCTGTGGAGAGGCTTTGATTACATTTGGATAAGTTGTTTGTTTTTTTGTTTTTTCTAAATTGGAAACAGTAGTTCCTTGGATTGGAGAGGAGGAGGAAACATGGGAAGTGTTACTGTGTTGAAGTGGATAAACTTTCTCTTTGTGATTCCTTTTCTTCTCTGGATTTTAGGTTTCTTCTCTTTCTTTCCTTTGTACGTCTCTATCGAGTACAATTTGTGTCATCTGAACTCCCTGGTCAAAACATGTCTATCTTAGAGATTTTTTTCCACGTTGTTTTTTTTGCCTAAATTGATTTAGGCTGTGGTTCTGTGGGAGTTGAACTCATTGACTTGCAGCTATTGAAAAGGGGACAGCTTTATTTTCCCTTGCACAAAAGGGGACAAGCGAGGAGGGAATTCTACTTTCTTACAATGCTCAGTGAACTTTACCATAAGCCACTTTATTCCCTAACCTCACAGAAAACAACTCAGCTTCTTGATTTGTATTTTTGTGCCACAGTAACGAGTTACAGCAGATGAGAGGGTGACCTTGCAGGTATGGGTGTAGCAAAAAGTGACAGGAACTTGCAGACAGAAAGGAAAAAAGTTAAGGAGTTTATAATTTCCCCCTTGTCAGTTGTGTGGAGATGCTGATGGCTTGAGACACTGTGGAGCAGTATCACTCCAACCTTGTTCATCTGCAAATTCATCCCATTCAAACATGGAAACATTGGTTAGATCTTTATACATTTGGTAAGAAAATGTGGCTTAGTCTTAGACTTACACCTTGTGGACATATGTCAAAATGACCCAACAATCTTGTATATTTATAAGCAATTTGAAGCAGGGGTTGTATTTTTCTAGTGTTGATTGGAAATGGGTCCATAACCTGGGACTTGTTCCTCCTGACACTGCCCCAGATACCAGATTATCCATCTGATGTGTCCAAAGAGTAAAGTTAGGCTCCAGCAAGATCCTCATGAATGACAGAACATTTGAATACATGATACATGAAACAAAATCATAGTGCTAGTGATAAACTTGTGTCAAGAATGCACAAAGCCTGAAAGTGTTTTCTGATTCAATTGAAAATGCTCAGTCAGGAGAACATAACCAGTTGCTGTACATGCTGCTGTTGTGTAGTGGTAGACTTTGTAGATTAAGTGCCTACAGCCAGTGAAAGGACTGGTTTGAGTCTCTGCATTTCCTTCACATACAGGGGCCTCTCCATTAATGGCATTGTAGCAAATAACAGTAATTAATAATGTGGTCAGATTTGAGAAGTGTTATCAGTAATGGACGCCCTGATGCAGTGCTAAGAGCAAGTGTTACCAGAGCCATTGCAATAGGCATAATCACAGCAGTACTCCCTCTATAAATATATAGGTATTTTTAATAATCCTTGTCTTCAGTTTTAAATCCAAATTCCTATATTTTAGAGAAGTGAAATGCTATAATTTGAAACGATTGAACACTTTGCCAGCTGCCTTCGGAAAAGGTCAGACAACGTTTATAGAATTTAAGGAGAAGATTGTCTGAAAGCTTTCTGGAAAGGTATTACATGGAATCAATCTGAGTAAATTGTTGCTGGCTGTTTGGAGTCACTGGAGTGCCATCAGAACTTCAAGACTGCATCCTCTTTGGGCCTTAAAAAGGGACTTAAACTTCTTTCAACCACCATGATTAGATTGAACATCCAGTTGTGACATGTAGCTATTTAGATGTCAGAAGAAATTTATTTTGAAATTTATTTTGAAAAGGCCTATGTATTTTCAAAGGGTATGTCTTCAGTAATAGTCCTATGAAAAGTTCTGTTTTGTTGTTTCTTCTAATATTTGGCAAGCCAGCAACAGTCCTCACAAACTGCATGCTCCATGATAATTTTGGACATAAGTCAGTATGAAAGCGTGGAATTAAGCAGTTGGGCATTGTGCATGAAGTATTCTGTGTCAGCTAAGGATGGGACAGAAATCCCGTTTGTTTATCAAAACAAGAGGGAGAATTCTCAGATAACAGGCCTGGGGCAGATGAGCTCCAGGTACCTTATAAAAATCTTGTTTATAAAAAAAAAAAAGTCTTCAGAGGTTTTCCTGTTTCTTTCTACTAGTGATAACAGGTCTCTGGAAAAAAAATTCATTTTAGAAACCTGCAAAATTCTGCATGCCAGTATCGCTCTTTGCCTGCAGAACGCTTGACGTACACATGCGGGATCAAAGCTTCAATCTGAAGCTTTACTACAGGCGTTAACTGAGGAGGTACCTCTGACAGAGGCTGCAGACCGTTCTGCCAGAATGTGTGCTGGGCAAACAGAGGTTGCCTTAGTCTTACATACCAAGTTCATTGAAATGTAAATATCTGTGTGGAGTACATAAAAAGAGTACTCATGGGCTTAATTTTTCTTTATAGAGCTGATCTCTTGGTAGAAGGTTAGCTTAAAATGAATCAACAGTAATCCCTAATTCTCCCTTATTTTTTTTTTTAATTCCTCTTCAATTAGAGCCTGGTTATTGCCAATGCTGGTCTTGGTAATGGGATGAGTAGACACCAACTGCTGAGCACAGTAGAAGAATATGGATTGGTGGAAACACTCCTAATGCCACCAAATAAACCATATTCATTTGTGAAATATGGGAAAACAGAAGAAGCCAAAAAAGCCTTTGATGCCCTTAATGGAAAAGAAGTAATGCTGGATGACACTGGCCAAAACATTGTTCTGTATATTAATTTTGTGGAAAAAGGTAAAGTTTTTCTGCTCTCCTGTATATCCAACTTCCTGCATACTGCTTCTCTTTGCTTTGACTTCCTAGCTTGTAAATATAGCTAAGTGCACACTAGTCTTTGTAAGTAGATAGAGAGAATGAAAGCCAAAATATAGAATTCAGGACATAAAATAGGCTTTGCTCCTTGTATTTCATGATGAGATACTCTTAACTTGAACTCCTTTATTTGGAGGCAAAAGGAAAAAGGATTTAGGTAGTTTCCAGGCTATTCAATACTGCACATGAAGCCTTTATGATTAAGGAGCTAAATTGTAGAAAACTAAAATGAAATGCAGGCAGAATCCTGAAGCGATTGAGAAAGTCTTTTTACCATTATTTTGACAGGAAAATCACAAGGGGTTTTGCCATGAGTAGTGTGGAGTCTTGTTGGTCTTATGCAGTAAAATTTTTAGAAAGTGTTTTGCATGCTGGAAAAGTTGGGCCTTACCCTGTTTCGTCATGCCAAAAAGGGATCGTTTATTCACCAAGTAAGGCTCCAGTCAGGGCTCCATTGTATCACTGAAGTAAATATTTCTACAGCAAAAATATATTCTCGTACACAGTACATACCCCTGTAGGGAACACATGATTTTGTTTTCTCTAAACAGTGACAATATTCTCATTTTCCATACACCCTAGTTTGCTGGCAGAATGCTGTTCCTACAAGCTTGCCTCCAGGCCTAATGGTCGTCGAAAAGATTATTTCTCCAGAGGAAGAAAGAAGGATGTTGGAAAGTATTGACTGGCTAGGAAATGAAGATACTCAGAATGGTGGGCAAAAGCACAGAAATCCAGACCTTCCATACTTTTATGCTGTTTTTTCCTACAGTTTCAGTTTACAGGAAGCCTATGTCTTGGTAAATGTACTGTTTGAAATCATTGTGTCCTTGTTCTTAGTATTTTAGAAATTTGGTCTTCTATTGCAAGTGATAAAACCCTAGGGGCAAGTGGTCTGAACTAGTAATCTGATATGGATTTACTTGAAGAATATTCCTCCATCCAGAAACAACTAAATTCTTTTTTTTTTTTTTTTTTTTGAGGTGTCTAAATGCCAAGTACAACACTGTTCTGTGAAGGGCACCCTTGTAATTTGATGTCCAGCTGAGGAGCTGTGACTTCTCTTAAAACAAAAAGAAGTCAGTGAGATGCACATTCTAGATGCTTTTGTGCTTTCACTTGAGCTCTGTGGAGTTAAATCTCTCATAAATGATTTTTTTTTTTAAATTACCTTCAAGGTTTCTGTGTAAATTTTGCTCCTTGGAAAAACACAAAGGACTGTATTTACCTTGGCTAAATTTCACTTGGTGATAGGTGAAAGTGAAAGA